CTAGTTCTTCTGCTTATTTGCTTGAGTCTTCAAATTTGTGGCATATTAGACTAGGACACGTTAACTATGATACTTTACGAAGATTAGTTAACTCTAACTGCATACCTAAGTTCAATAACGATTCCAAACATAAGTGTGAAACTTGTGTTGAAACAAAATTGACAAGGTCATCGTTTAAATCAATTGCACGGAACACAGAACCACTAGATTTAGTTCACAGTGACGTGTGTGATCTAAAACTTGTACAAACAAGAGGCGCCAACAAGTATTTTATTACTTTTATCGATGATAGCACAAAATACTGCTATGTATATCTGCTTAAAAGTAAGGATGAAGCTATAGAGAAATTTATTCTCTATAAGAATGAAGTTGAGAATCAACTTAATAAGAAAATTAAGATGCTGCGAAGTGATCGAGGTGGTGAGTATGAAGCTTTGCTCAATTCTGTGCACAATATAGAATCATACATGAAACCACCACCCCTTATTCATCGCAACAAAATGGTGTTGCTGAACAGAAAAATTGTACCTTAAAAGAGATGATAAATGCAATGCTCGTAAGTTCTGAGTTACCTCAGAACATGTGGGGAGAAGCTGTGTTATCAGCAAATTACCTTTTAAATAAGGTGCCCCGAAAGAAATCGGAAAAGACCTCTTATGAGTTATGGAAAGGAAGAATGTCTACCTATAAACACTTGCGAGTGTGGGGGTGACTTGCTAAAGTGGCTGTTCCACCACCAAAGAAGATAAGGATAGGCCCGAAAACTATAGACTGTGTCTTCATTGGCTATGCACATAATAGCAGTGCGTATCGCTTTCTTGTGTATGATTCAAAAATTCTGGACATACACAAAAACATGATAATGGAATCAAGGAATGCTATATTCTTTGAAGAAGTATTTTCATACAGATCCAAAGAGGAAGCAAGCTCCTCTAAATGAATATATGAAACAATGACTGAAAACAGTCAGAACGAAGAATTAGAAGAGGAGATTGAGGTTAAATGCAGCAAACGGGAACTAGAAAGTGAACCTCAAAGTTATCAAGAAGCAGTAAATTCCTCGGAAGGACCTCAATGGAAAGAAGTCATTGAAAGTAAAATAGATTCCATACTGCAAAATCATACATGGGAGTTAGTGGATCTTTCTCCAAGAAGCAAACCACTAGGCTACAAATGGAGTTTCAAAAGGAAAATGAAAGCAGATGGAACTATCGAGAAGTATAAGGCTAGATTAGTAATTAAAGGATACAAACAAATGGAAGGCCTTGATTACTTTGATACGTATTCTCCAGTGACGAGAATAACATCTATTAGGATGATACTTACGATTTTCGCTTTGCGAATCTTGAAGTACATCAAATGGATGTTAGAACTGCCTTTCTAAATGGAGATTTAGAAGAAGAAATTTACATGAAACAACCTGAGGGGTTTTCGTCACCAAGACAGGAAAAGAAAGTCTGTAAACTGGTGAAGTCACTAAATGGCTTGAAATAAGCACCAAAACAATGGCATGAAAAATTTGACAATGTCATGATTGAGAGTGGATTTAAAATCAATGAATGTGACAAATGTGTTTACGTCAAAGATACTAAAGATGGATATGTCATCTTATGTCTTTACGTTGACGACATGCTTATTGTTGGTAGTGACAATAAGATGATTGAATCCACTAAAAATATGTTAAACTCGAGATTTGACATGAAAGATATGTGTTTAGCTGATGTTATAGTTGGAGTGAAAATCTCAAGAACATCAAATGCGCTTGTTCTAAGTCAGTCACATTATGTGGACAAAATTTTAGGAAAATTCCATAAGGATGATACTGGCTTGGCTAAAACACCAATAGATACAAGTCAACATCTATCTAAAAATAGAGGAGAGAGTATCCCTCAAGTAGAATACTCGAGAGTTATCGGAAGTCTAATGTACTTAATGAGTTGTACTAGACCAGACATAGCCTACACAGTCAGTAAACTGAGTAGATACACGAGTAATCCAGGAGCTCATCACTGGAAAGGAATTGTAAGAGTACTAAGGTACTTAAGATATACTCGTGACTATGGACTACATTATACTAGATATCCAGCAGTCATTGAAAGATACAGTGATGCTAATTGGATATCTAATATAAAAGACTCAAAATCCACCAGTGGATATGTGTTCACATTGGGTGGTGTTGCCATATCGTGAAAATCCTCTAAGCAAACGGTTATAGCCAGATCTACGATGGAATCTGAGTTTATAGCTCTAGATAAACGTGGTGAAGAGCTGAATGATTGCGCAACTTCTTAGAGGATATTCCAAGATGGTCAAAACCTGTGCCAGCAATTTGCATATATTGTGACAGTCAATCAGCAATAGGAAGGGCACGTAGTAACATATATAATGATAAGTCTAGACATATACGTCGTAGACAAAATACCATAAGACAACTACTCTCAACTGGAGTTATCACTATTGACTATATAAGGTCAAAAGATAACATTGCGGATCCACTAACCAAAGGGTTAAATAAAGAGTTAGTTATGAAATCATCGAAAGGAATGAGACTTAAGCCCTTGAAAGAATAAGTAATTACAAAGGAAAACCCAACCTAATTGATTGGATATCCCAAGATCTAGGTTCAATGGGAAAACCTAACTGTAAAGACTTGATAAAATCACTATGGGGGTATTACCTCCTGTCCATTCCTATGATGTAACAGTGATGCTCGTAAGGTTGAAGGTTAAGCAATAGGCTTTTAATGATTCTTATGCGTCATAAATCGAGCCAAGTAATGCGGGTTTCTTGTAATAAGAAATCACCTATGTGAGTGAGAAGTGGGGCCACTTCTAAGAGAATTGGGTGGGGCTCAATTCTTAAGAACTTTCACAAAACCAGGCATATGTTCATGGCCAAAACAAACATAACAATGAGAACTAGATTATGTTAGGAAGAATTTTGTGTGAAGTATATCATCGTTTACACAAACGGTAGAACAGTTCAAGGACATCGCATCTACTGGTCAGCCAGTAAAGTAAATATGCTTTCACAAAGGAAGGTTCAAAGGGTAGCACCTACCTATCCTATGCAGGATTCAACCGCTGAACTTTATCACCTAGTCTTGTGTCTTACATTTCGTGTCTCTCCCAATTTTCATTCATGTAGGGGATTGTTAGAAAAAAATTGAGTGAGCGACTCAATTTTGGCACAATTTTCGATGGGACTCGTTGGTCCAATGTGGAATATCAAAGTTGATATGTGTTCTCCTCCGCGAGAACATCGATTTCATGTATTTATTTGCCAAAAATGAAGCTCGGGTGAATGAGAAATTGAAGCTCAAAGTTAGTCATTGGAAGTTGGTTTTGTAAAAAATGCATTTATCTCATATAGGAAAACCAAGGAAACTTAAATCACTTTATATATGGCTATGCTTTGGAGATGTGTAATCATGTGTAGCATAGAGGCTCTCTCCATGCGTGCACACAAGGAGGGTGCAAATCATGAACTGAAATGGCCTTCGTACCTTGAACTTGGGTAAAATCTCACCTACATTCCTGCGTACACAATTTTTTCTTTTCTGCATTCCTTGTTCAGTAAAGTCTTGTTCTTGTGGTGATATTGTTTAGATACTAGATCAGTTCGTCGGAGTAGGACCGCGGTGCTCGGATTCTGCTTATTACCATTGTATCCTAGGAGACAGCTGCTCGAACTGAACCTCCAACACCTACGGTGAGGGGGCGAAACTGTCTTAAGAAAACTGTGCACGCACAGGCCTCGGTTTGAAACTTGCTGCAATTTGTGTTTTCCTTTTACAGATTATCGTTTTCCTACAGTTTTAAGGTCATTAAGTTCTTTAACTTTTAAAATGGCTAGTGACAGAATAAGGATTGAATGACATTTTGGTAAGTTCAATGACAACTTAGTTCTAACTTTTAAATATAGCTCAGACACATCTAATAAAGTTTAATGGTAACTCGAATAGTTTTTAAAGTTCAATGACAAATAAGAAAATACTTAAAAGGGTATTTAATCCAAATAAGTGTATAAATAGCAATAGGTGATAATGAGTAAAGAATAAGTTGAACTCAAACATCGTGTATATATACATTTTTTATAGATGTTTGAATAACCTAGTTTCTTGCTTCTAGTAAAGATTGGTTATTTTAAAATTTAATTTCACCAAAAATAAGTAACTTTTAAATAAATTTTCAAAGCTTTGCCAAACATGGATAAACTCACAGAACAGAACATATTTAGCTCCTTTTTCTTTGTTGCAAAGAATCCATTTTCATTAACTATTATTTGTGCCCGCGGTCAATTGAAGACTGCTAGCTTGCCTTCTTCGACTTTAAACTAATCAATAGTGCTCGATTGCTTGCTTTTACCATTACCATCCCAGACTCGAACCAAGCAGCCCAACCTGTTACTGTCTCTGAGCCAGCTCAAGACATCATTCCGGCAGCTATTACTTGTCCTAAGTCCATGATCATCACTATTCCTGAGCAGGTTGCATATGAGTATATAGTGCGGTTCCCTGGAACTATGGCTATTAAGCAATGATATCGTGGAAATGCTGTACGGACCCCACCTTGATATTAAACCAGATTGAGCAGAGGATCTTTTTGGAAATGGGAAGATCGCAACGACCCAATTGCAAGAACGGAGCTCTACCAACTGAGTCTCCAAGTGGACCATGCATGAAGTAGTGCATTTTAAAATGTTTTTGGTAGGACAAGTTATAACACAAAAGAAATGTGACATCCCTTCACATTCAAGCTTTTGCTTTTGACGCAGACAATTTTGCCCGTTTGGATTTTCAATTTGATACATAATTTTACCAACACATTACGTTGTAGAGTAACTTAATGAAGGACACATTTGGTACTTTCAAGAAAAGTGTACATTTTTTTGGGGCAATACTTTTTATTTAAAAATTTCGATTTTCAAAGTAGCAAATTCTAATCTAATTTCTAGCAAAACATAAGAGGGGCTTGATGAGTTGTACCAGACAACGCAACAATAAAAATTCCACTCCTTCAACTCTTCTTAATCTGTCTAGGTCGACATACCATAGAAAACATGCATACACGAGAAAGTTGCAAGACATAGTTTGGCACAAGGCCTAGCTAGCACATGGCATGCACGTGCAGATCGTAATCGGAGAACGTGTGAAACTCGACACGGTCTCATTCTGGTCCAGCCACCAGAAAATCCAGTTGGGATTCAGAAAAAAACTATTCTGCCTGGAAAATTGTCTTCTGTGTGCATCACTGGGCAAGAGAATGTGTTATAAACTATTATGTTGAAGAGAAATGCATTGTGTTGCTGCCATAATAAGCTCAGGCATGCTTGAATAATTTCATACTCAGCCAATGAAAATATACCGAAACAATGAGAATCGGAATTGTCAAGGGCACCAAGAAGCAATAATACCTGTTCAAGAGAGAAAAAAATGTTAATAAAACATCTTCAAAATATGACCTCATTAATCTAATTGTATTATAGGAAACGTGTACAAAAAATGTCACATAACAAATGATTGTGTAAAATGAAGTCTCATTCACAAGCAAAACAAGAACCGGTCATCAGATTGCAACCATTCAACACCGATTATCTCACCATGATGCTCAATAACATTTGGCTATAAGTAAAAAAACTATAGGTTACATTAATGGTATGTCTCGAAAGGTGGATTGGACAGTACACATAGAATTAAAGAAGAAAAGAAGTTAAATTTTGTTTATAGCTCTGTCCAGTCTAGGCATATGTACCAAACACGCTCCTAAGGTCAATACTGCATCGACAAGAAAATGCCTATTCTTCTACAATCTTAAAATGTCGTTATATCTTCTATTGTAAGGTTGCCATTGAACTTGTAAAAACTCTGCAATTTCGTCCTCAATAAAATTTTGATATTAGTTCCAGTAATAATGAGTGGTACAGGCAAATGTTTTATAGATGAAATCAAGTAATCTACGCTAATAACATGATCAAAAGAGGATCAAATAGAAGTTTGGTTTAAGATTTCTTTACTGTTGTGTTTCATCATGCACTCAATTGGCTGTTATGGAAGTAGTTAGTGCTTGCGGTGTTGATTATTATCCAGTTAACTACCACCAAATGACCAATTAGATGTTGTACTCCACAGATGTATCATATGTTAGTTCTACTGTGATCTATAGATTCCCCATCTATATCCAATCCCAACGAGAATAGAATCCAATCGGGGATCAAAGAAAAGAACTAAACTATGGCTTTAAGGTGCTGCCAATGACCTCCTCGTGAAAAGTCCATAAATAGTTAACTTGTCTGAGATATTTGATTCTCAACACAAAGCCACTTCAATTTTGAAGCCCAACCTCTCCAAAAGATGTATCTAGCAGACTTTAAAAATCCCAATTCTACCATCAAGTATCCTCTGTTGCCTTATTATTATTATTATTATTATTATTATTTTGCCTTTCAAACACAGTTCGTGCAGAAATTTCAGTCTAGTGATCATCTTTCTCGAAAACATAAAAGAGGTTTTTGGTTGGATACATCTGGTTTATGAATTTTATGGTTGTTTAATATTGAAACTGCCTTCCCTCTATTTTGCGTCTCAAAAATCTAGGTGGATATGACCAGTGTTGAAATCATAAACCACATGAATCACAAAATGGTAAGTCCATTCCAAGATCTCATATGCTAGAGATCCGGAACACTACTATGAGACAGTAAATTGAAAAACAGAAACTTTTTCACAAAAATTGGCAAACCTCCTTTCACCTTGCCAAGAATTTCGATGACATTTATATTATTTGAAAACTTTCTTTGTATCTTTCAAAGTTGCTTAGATTTTATAACTAAACGCCATGTCTCTCTTCCGATTCGACATAGTAACCACAAGGCCAGATTGCACTCAACCCATCATATGCAATCACTTTGGGGGGGCGGGCTAGACTGGGAGAAAGGCTATCCACAACGTAAGCAAAGGTAGAAAATTCCTAGAAAATACACTTTTCAAGAATCTCTATTCTTGGGTCATGGCACACTCAGCTACCATAGACAACGGGTTTTTCCAAGAAGCCTAACAAATTGCTTCCTTCCTGGTTGAATAATTCCTTTTAACTAGAGCCTAGGTCAGGATATACTCCTTGACAACATTCAAATTGAAACCTTAAAGTGGTTGCTTATCTAATCCTTCCACAAGAACATCAACGTGTCAGTTTCAAAATAACCTGATTTCGTAACAATCTGATATTTTGATTGCATGTTTTTCCTGACTCCTGATAACTAAGAAAAATATAAACTATACTATAAAAGCAATCCTTCTCTAATTTAAGTGTCCTTCACACCATAGTATCACAAATACATCAACAGACAACTAGTCTCATTTTCAGTAAAACTTTTGGGTCAGCTACACGTCCCTTTCTCTTTGAGGAACATAAATGTTATAAGCATTAATCACTCCAAGATTAAAGTGCAAACAAAAATTTAACAATTGTACAAACTAACATGGCAAAATCCTCATCCATAGTCTTAAAATGTAAATTTTTGATTTATAATCCAAGAATTCTTACATTTTGTTATACATATAGCAGGTTTCTTATTCAAATCGATACTCAGCAATATCCACAGGTATAGAGCTTCAATTCTAAGGATCATTACATACTTTCACCACGATAAATAATTTTTATAAAATGAAAGAAAACTTCTTATGATTATAAAACGGAAATGTAAAAATCAAGTAAAAGATAAACTCACCAGTCATTTTGTATGGCAGAGATGATAGCATTATCTGATGGCGGAAGAAGCTTTGAAATTACAGCAGCATAGAGAAAACCCATATATGAAATTAAACCAATTACCACAAAAACCCATCCCATCACTCTCTCATTCGAAACAGAATGAGAAAAAATTGGCATCTTTTCGCTTCAATTCATCTCTGTAAAAGGAGCATCATTTAGCACTGTAATTGTTTAAGAAAAATTATTTTTCAAAGAAACCAACTATGAATTTTGGTGGTGGATAGTTGGGATCAGATTAGAATTCACTTTTACAGTAGTGTTTCTGACGCAGTAGTTTCTAATTCAATTTCAATCAGAACTGGAAAACCCAGGTTTAATAGTAACCAGGTCAGCCGTTTCTTCCAGCCTGGGAATTGCATAAAACTAGAGAAATTTATGGAGATTTACTTGCATTTGCAAACAGTAGAGACTGGAGAGGCGATTCCGTGACACAACAGTTAGTATAAAGGAGAAAGATGGACGATTGTTGAAGGTATAAAAGAGAAGATGGACGATTCAGCACAATTTTTTAAGTAATTTTTTATTTTATTTTATTGTATAAAGGAGAGATGGACGGTTCTCGGAGTAAGTCTCAATTAAATTATTAATAAATGCATATATAACTAATTATTATTTTTATTACTCAATATCAAATAAATTTACTTTGAGTTCGGGATTCATTCCGGCAATTACATGGACTCAATGATACTATTTACAATACTTTATTGTTTAGAGTATAATAAGTGATTATTTTACAGGAGATTTTTCTATCGGTTCCGCTTGGCGTACAGAAACTCGTTCATAGAAGTTTTACATATGACGTGGCAACAACGAATTAATAAAAAAAACAAAAAAGGAACGGGTATTCAGACACACCACAGGCAGCCCCTTAATCTTCTCTGAAAATTGCCCAAATAAAAACAAAACCCTTCCCAACCTCTTCATTCCCATCACCACCTTCCCTCACTGACGACGGCGGGCTCGCAATCGGAATTAGCTCCTTCTCCGGCCCAGCGACGAAGTCAACGAAGAAGAAAAAGTGTGACTCGTGCTGGATGTTGTGGACATCGGAGAAGTTCAAACCTTGCTCTGATCTTTGACCGCTGAGAAGCAACCACCACGCCCAATTGAAGAAGACACCAGTTTCCGTCTATACAAACGAGGTATGTGCTTCACGTGTAATACCTGATTGTAGGCAGAAATTTATTGCGCAGCCATGAGTTCAACGAATTAAACTGTAGATAACACTTTGCCAAAAAGAATCGAAGGATTTAATGCTGGCTGTACCAAAAGAGGCTCATAGGGGAATGATTAGAGAAATTAAATATTGTTATAGATTTGTAAATTAATGGATTGAAATATTTGAAATTGAAGACGAAATGGGATTGAAAGATTGAACGTGCTAAGTTCTGCAATATGCTGTGGTCCGTGAAATTCTTCTGCATACTGTATTTTGTCTTTAAGTTTGCAATTTCACTTCTATTTCTCTTTTTATTTCTTTAGCTTGGTAGTATTTTGTTGTAGATATGCCTTCAAATTCCTTCACCGTTGTTGCCCCAGACTTCAATGATCAACCCTTGAATCGTCATTCACCTTATTTATCTTCAATCACCTTGTAAATTATAGCCTATAAAAGCAGAGTTGTCCTAATGAGGTGGTTGTAACTCATAATCCTGGACAAGGCAATTTAATTACGATGCTGATATTTATGTTACTGATTACAGTTTATTAGATGAGTTAAGAATTTTGTTTGTGTGGTTTATCGACCATCTCAGCATGAGAGGAAGGAATGTCGGAATATGTCACAGTTGTCGAAGCAAATGGCACTCATTCTGGGAATGCACGAGAAAACGTCGTTGCCTGTGGTGTCCACACGGATTTCAGAAATGCTTCGAGGTAGAAAAACAGACACGTAACAAAGGGCGATTATTCAACACTTGCAGTAACAATTGTGGATATTTCGATTGGGTGGATGAAGGAGAATCAAGTGAACAATGTAGTGATGTCAACGAAGTGATAACTGTTGTAGGGAATGAGGAAGTTCAAGGCTTACGGAATGAAGAAGTTCGAGACTTGCCTAGCATGCTCGAAACTCTAGCCCGAATAACTGAGACACGAGACGTCGAGGTGTCACTACTACAAGTGACATTCCGCAAGGGAAAATGATGCTTGGAATCAGATGGCAAACCAAAAGGACCGGCTTGATTATTAGTATTTTAGTCAACGGATTGTTTGGGTTATATATGTAATTTAAAGACTTGAGTAGCGCTACTATATATTTTGTATGCCATTAGAATTTATGTTAAATGCATGTTATGTTTCTTCATTACATTTTGTGAGTCTATATGTTTGTTCGTAAACGATGAATGGTAGACATAAGCGGCGTATGTTAGCAACAATGAAATTAGCGGAACGGTCGAGAGAATTCAAATTGGAAATATACGTCATTGAGCACTTGACGAAAAGTTGTTTTTCTCGGCATCTTTAGGTATACATTTGCATAAATCTAATTGTGGTATAATTTCAAGAATTTAATCCTTTTTTTTTGTCGGACACTTTATTAATTCTAATTAACACAATAGAGATTCTTAGCCAATTCAATATACCATTTATTAATTCTAATTAACACGATTAAGATTAGACCATGGCAGGGTCCCATAATTGTAAAATCACAATAAGAAGACTTTGTAGGAATTTTAAAATGTGTTGGTGTCGTTAGTTGGTCATTAGTGAACAAGAAGAAGTCACTGGTTTCTGGGTAATACTGCATGACGAGAAGACGAGCTTTTCTGTTGTCTGCAAGTGCCATATCCAAATGCTCATAAATAAAATTGCAGCTTGTAATGATAGAACACCATGATTTGCAAACGCACTTGAATCGCAACAGAGTTTTCACGGACAACCTTAACAAGATCTTGATAATCATGGCTTTAGGAATGTAACCAAAATTGTCCATTTTTCCAGATTTCCCAACACCCAACGCAATTTATCTAAATTGAAGAGAGTGAAAATCATATAAACTTGATTAGTTACATAGGAATAACTAAGCAATCCAAATACGGTAAACGAAAAATTCCAAATAATATAGAAAGACATAAAATAAAACAGAACTTTTAACCCCAAATTCCCCTGATTTTGCATAATTAAACAGGAAATTTAGTAAAAATTATTAAAAACTGGGTAAAAAGTTATACATATTTAAATAGAAAATCAACATCCAACAGAAAAAAAGAACAATTTGGCTAAAAATTAGATGAACAATAATAATCATACAGCGACCCACTCCTACCCACAACCACCGGCACCGCCACCAGCTTCCAGTAAAGTAGACAGTAAATTCTTGAAATGATACCACAATTACATTAATGCTGAAGGAGAAAAAAAAAGGATTAAGTTCTGCCATAATGCAACACTAGCACAAAATTATTGTAAAACACGCCAAATATTCCTTACTAATTTGGAGCAGCACTTAATTTCTCTCATTAATTCGGTTCATTGCTCATACTGCCTCTCTGCATCCACACTTCTCTGTTTCTCTCATCACTCATGTATCTTCATGAGATGTTGGCCAGCTTCTTTGCACGCAATCAAAAGCTTTTGGAGCCCTCACTGATTTGGGACATTAGGAGCTTCAACACCGTTGAACTTGCCCAAATCATCCATATTCTGGAGCAAACAATCTTCCTGCAAACCCACCATTTTTTAATTCTACCCGAAATTATAAACATTGTTGTGCTAGTAATCCAAACTAATTAAAATTCGGTATAGTGAAAAGCATTCCTTACATAGTTGAGAAGTCGTTTTTAATAGTAAGTCCTACCACATTCTATTAGCCAAACTTTGTTTATCCAATTAAATATAGGATAACTTAAATCTATGCAGACCAAACCAAAACCTAAGTTATAAACCAAAACGAAATGCATACTCCTATTCTTAAGTCCGATACTATAAATTAAAGATAAAGTAAATGCAGCAATGAAATTAATAACCCAATCCCCTCGCTTACTAGTGCAACAAAAATGCGGACTGCTATTTTGTAGGACTTGAGAGCTGATGATTGCATCCATGTCTTTCTTATCATCATTCGTTATGCAAAATGATTGGTGGCAGAGACGTAGCATATGCTAAAAAAATTTCACATTTATAAGGTTGGACCATCTTGTGGCGGCATAGGCATATAGTAGTAAGGAAATGGATGACCTGTCGAGTAGTAGAAAAATTAGTACACATATTTGAAGAAGTCATATAGAAATGTAGTAAATTAACCTCGTCATCACCTTGTGGACGGAATATAACATTCGTTGGCAATGGAGGGAGCGCATCCGATGTTGGCAACGGTCGTGTACAGACAAAGCTTTCGGCATCGCCCTACATAAACAAAGAACGTAAATAACACGTAAAACAAATAGTTAAATTATATTATGGTACTCACCAACAATAGTTGTGAATAAGAGAATGGTGTTTGCGTTGAAGATTGCTCTTGCGACGCTACAAATTCAGGTGCAGCCTCCTCAGTATTACTGTGCCTTTGTCTCAGCCTCTTCCCCTTGCTCGTCGTCAAACTTGCCTGCATGTAGAATATAATGAAATTAGTACACACAATTCATGGCCGTAGAAGAATATAGATGTGGAAAGACGAACAAACCCCTAAATTCTTTAACTCCAGCGGACTTTTTCTTCGAAGTCGCCGGGGTGCCCCCTTTTTCTTTGCAACATTGGGATCCCATATGTTGATGGTTGCAGCAATTTGTGAAGGAGTACAGTGAGAAACGATATTACTTGCAATACACGACTTTGTAGACTTCAGCTCATTCGCTTGTACTTTTATCCAGTCCAATATGGCACGTGCCCGACACTCATTATCTGCAGCAAGGTCAGCCACCTCCGCAAAAGCTTTACACATACTGTCATACCTCAACTGTTCTGGGGTACTGACCAGACCGTCGTAATTCATTGCAACTCTTGTATATGCTCTGCTAACATCTCTTCTCCACCTTCGTAATGTGTAATGCTCAAGCAACTGTGTGACGTCATTACGAATCAACACCGCAATCGCATGTCTACAAACAATGCCTCGAAATTCGAACAAGTGGCAGCTGCATCTAAACTTAGATGTCGCTCTCTCAAATGAGACAAAAAAAAATTTCTTCTTCCGCTGCTCATAATAGAGGACATCCTCACGTACCTCATACGTGGTCCCTGAAGATCCCTCTTTCTCAGATATGAGATTACAAAATACCTTACCCTTGAATTCTTCTTGGACTTCTTTGAATTTTGAAATAGTATACACTGATTGAAAATGCCTTTCGATTTCATAATTCGTGGCACACGGTACCGTTTGTGAGTATGACTTGAAATCAGCTTGGAACTCTTTTTCGACCTTACTTCTGAGTGTTCTTTTATATTGTTCCACAAACTGCTTCAGAGAGGTCTTCAAATGGACATAATCGTCGAAGAACGCATTCATACTCTCACTTTGCTGAGTTGTGGACATCCCCACCCAAAAAGCCATTTTCAAAAAGCAAGGCACCCAACGACCTCTATTAACATACAACCCCGACAACCATTCATTATCTATCAACTCATATGTCTCGATCATCTCTTTCCAACCTAATTCAAATTCTTCAATATTCTGTGAATCATACACCAACTGATGTATAGCCGAAAATATGGAAGCCTTATCAACATGGTACCCAAACTTCTCCGGCAACTTCTTCAAAATGTGCCATAAACACCACCTATGCCTTGTATCTGGAAAAACAATCTCAATAGCATTTTGCATGGCCCTATCTTGATCAGTAATTATTCCACGAGGAGCTCTACCATGCATGCACTCAAGCCATGTCTTGAACAGCCAGACAAAGGTATCAGTGTCCTCGTTCGATAACAATCCACAACCGAACAAAGTTGATTGACCGTGATGATTTACACCAACAAAAGGTGCGAATGGCATGTCATACTTGTTAGTGAAGTAAGTTGTATCAAATGTGACAACATCCCCAAACTCCATATATGCTTGCCTACACCTATTATCGGACCAAAACACGTTCTTTGGGCAAAACTCGTCGTCTACATCCATACTGAAGTAAAAACCTGAGCATCGTGCTTGCATTTTTGAAAAATAACTTTGTATTGCGGCCACATCTCCTTCCCCAAGTCGCAATCGCCTCACTTGTTCAATATAATTGCGACAGTCCTTTTCCACACACGTCATATTTTCATATCCACCCGCTTCAACAACTGTGGAGTTGAAACTTTTATGTAACGGAATTCCTGTAAAATCATTTACTTCAAGTTTCCGTTTCACAGTTGCACTCAACTCTCTGTTGCATCGGTACAACCTAGACTTGGAAGGGCTAGTTCTATGGTTATGGTCAAGGTGGACAGTATTAATTCTCCACATTCCATGACTATCCAAAGAAGCAGAGATCCTTGCTTTACAATCTGTTTGACTGATTGGTTGTGGATTTAAAGAGCCGCTTGCATTACTCGGTCTTCGACCTTCATGACTACATGTGAAGGTCGCATATTTCAACAGTCCATCGTCCCCCTTTTTTGAGTTTCTTTTTCGAACTGGAAAACCAACATCATAGGCATACCTTTTGTAGAAGTCATACACTTCTTTATCGTCGTTGAACATCATACCCACCTCTGGTACAGTCGGCCCATTTTATCCTAGTGTTTCGTCTTCTACCTTGACAACATTCTCGGCAACATTATCATTATTGAATTCTGGAAGAAATTCCTCATTTCCAAATTCTGAAACAAGTTCGTCATTTCCAGTTTCCATAATTTCCTATGCTGCAAGAAAAAAATATGTAACGTTATGACAAGTCCAATCTATATTAATGTAATATTTAAAAGGTAGGAAAAACTGCAAAAGATAATGACAGGAAACCAATTCATTAATTCCGAGCAGGATGTTATGTTATACTTACAAATCATTTCGTAATTATGTTCATTTTTTGGGCAAGAGATGAAGTTGAATGTTGGGAAACTAAGTAAATAATATATCAAAAAAAAGTAGCACATGTAAAGATCAAAAATAAGTATTATATTGTCTAACTAATTAGTAGCTAATGGTGTCATAATAGGTTTCTGGACCAATCCAAGAGGGTGACCCGAGGCTGAGGATCAGAAATAAAGTTCATCTGCATTTCGAATGTGTTTGCAGCTATGAAAATGTCTGCTCCAAGATCACTATTTAGACTACTCAGCATTGCAGTTAGCTGCAGATGATACAATGCAACAGCTCTCTGCAATTCCATGACGCATTCGCCATCTCTGTTCCACTACATTGCATTATCACTTATCTTCTCATCCTAAAACAAATTAATACTCAAACTTGATATTGTTATGTAAGTGATAATTTTTTAACTATAAAACCTAAACAGATTGTGTAATTGCTATCATCTAGACATATTTGACAATACATCAACCATGTTGAAGAAGGTTAGATATAATATTAACAGTTCCACTTAGCAAGTAACATGAAAACTCATTTTTTCCATAATTTATTTTTTACTCGTTAGTCTTATTTGAATTAAGCAGAAAAAATCTTCAAGAAAAGTGAAATTTGAAAAATCAAAACTCAAATCATTACATTTTCTACTTACTGAGTACCAGATAGTTGGTCCAAAATATTCCGTTCCTTGCGTCCCAAATTCTGGGTAAATGCTTCGTCGTTTTGATGGCTGCCAACGAAGACCGAACCCTTTGCGGTTACACACGAACCCTATAGAACCCGACTCCAGCAGTTTAACATCATCGTATATTGCGGCTGGCCGTCGAACGAAAGGATGGGCTGCCAAATATTGGAATGGAATGGGAAAAAAATCAAAAATGAGGGTTTTCCCCCACGGTGCAGCGCCATCGACGGAGAGGACTTCTAACCACACAAATATGCAATTTCCCGTCAGACAAAATAAGACATTACTGAAGAAAAAAATTGCAAGAGAAATGGCGGAAATGCAAAAGTTTTCCCGCTTTTCTTCGTCCCTGTTCTGAAGAAAAAGGCAGCATTATTTGTTATTTGTTATTTTTTTTACATATGACTAAAAAGGGCCGAAGTCAACGAACATGACCCAGCCAGCTCAGCATTTTTCAAAATTTCTGTAAAGCCCCTGTGAGCCTCTTTCGGTACAGCCAGCATTATTCTTTTTCTATTTGGTCTATCACTATTACTTTTTATTGAAAGGCCTATTACTCTTAATGAAACGATTCTTTCTATGTTTCAACATATATCATAATCTTTTAAATATTTTATATTCTATTTTGAATATTTGAATATAAATTCATTTTATGATCTAATAAATAAGAATAATTTGTAACATATATTTCATATTTTCTAATTAAAATGTTATATTTTTCAAATGGTAAATTTAGATTTTCTTATTGAGAGATAATATTCTTTATTTTTTCTAACATTCTTTCTAATAGATTATCTAATCCTTCAATTGTATATTCTAATATTTATTCATACAAATAGTCATCAATTAATCCCTACGATTCTTTAAGATCTTAAAAAGATTTATTCTAATTTTAGCAAAAGTTTAATAGTTTTACCTTAGGTTTGATCTGGACTTTTATTCTTAAAATCGAGTGACCTTCGAGTTCTAAATCTGTAAACTGCTTCCTTCAACGGCCTCCTACCTTCATGAAATTGTTACTATTTCAGTTACTTACTCTCACTGTGTCAACTTCTGAAGAATAAAATTTTAGACTTCTGTTAAAGAAAAACTTTCTTTTTGTTAAAATAAGAAGAAAACTTTTTATCAGATCCTTCAAGAATCTATGAAAGTAAAGATTTAGAAACTCGTATCTATATCAAAATATTGAAATTTTATTTCTATCAGAATTTATACAATAGTTATATTTGGTACAAAGAGATTTCCAGAAAAACTGATTTTTCAAATTGGGAATGATTTTTTGAGTAACTATTGCTTACAACTCGAGATTTCAAGACAAGATGAGATGATCTCTATCTATGACAATGTCTCTATTTATACAAGTTTATGAGACTCTATTACATCATTGAGTACATCAGCAAAGGCACACTTGACTCTCTATTATTTTTCTCCTTGGGCCTACATCTTCACATGCTGCTTCAACTTTTTTATTCAAAGAGCATCTTTTTCTATTATTGCTCTTTTTCTTCAATGTCTTCACATGCAGCTGTATTATTGTTATTCATACACTTTGTCAAATGTGCTCTATTATTGTCCTCTTCCTTTATATTTTTACATGCAGTTGGAGCACTCTCTTAGCTGGCAGGATTCTTTTATAGTGGTAGGACATCCTGGAAATTGATGTATATCGAATCTCGTAATATAGTCTTTTAAAATTTCTGATTTTCCATATCCTCCATTGGATACTAACATCCAATTTTCATATTGGCACAAGCATGATAATTTTTTATCATAAATTTTTTTGGAAATGTTGTAAATGGTTTTAATTCCAAGTGCTCTTCTATTTCTGATCCATGATTTTGTCACTATCGGAACTTTTCTATTATTTTCTGTAACATCAATTTGGAAATTGGTTGCAACATATCCAATTGAAATTATGTGTTCAACTGGATAGTAAACAACTCCATCATATTCTGAATTTATTGAATAGAATTTCAAATATATTTTTCGTCCCTTGACAAATCTGGATACTTCTTTTATGAATATGTCATCAAATTTCGAAATTTCAATCAAATCTTTTCCTGGATATATAAAATCCATGAATCTATAGTCTGTCATAATTTTTATAAATGAAGGGTCTCCTCCTTCCATGGTTGTTATTCTGGGATAAACATTATTTTCCGGAGAGATGAAATATGAATTACTTATTTTTATATCATAAGCAATTTTGAATATTTCGGCATATTTTTCTTCTTTTGGATCTAAAGGGATTTTATCTTCTTGGTCTATGATGTTGATTATTTTGGTATCCTTTTATCCCCATGTATCATAACTTTTTTGGTTGATGATACTGAAATGAAATCTCCTTTATTTTCAGTTGGTATATTGTCACGTCTGGGTCTACTACTGCTTCCAGCTGTCCCTGTTTGATATTTGTTTGAAAAACTCATTTCTGAACTCTTTTGTATATCTATCTGTGACAGTATATCTTTTAGTTGTGCTGCAATAGCATCAACTTGATTTTTGAGTTCTGTGGCATATTTATGATGCTCAGTAGTGATATTCAACAGAATTTTTATATTTGAGTTGAACATTTTTGAGACCTAGGTTGCTCCAGAGTTTTTATCTTCGGATTTTTCTTTAAGAAAGTTTGTTCTTTGTTATATATGTAATATAGATTGGTATAATTCCATGACCTTGGTTTTATCTATTAGCAAATTTTATGTTTATGCTGAGAAAATTTGCAAGAAAATTTTTAACTCATTTAATATGTACTATATCAAAATTATAAAATGCTAAATAAGCTTGCCATCTATGGAACTTTCGGTATTGGGGTTCTGATAATAGTTTATTCCTGACTAATCCTACAACTTGAAAATTATCAGTCTCAACAGCAAATTTCTTGGATAATAAAAATAATGAGAACTTCTTTATTCCTCTAATAATTGTTAGTAATTTTTTTTCATGAGTAGTATAATTTTTCTGGTTGGTTAAAGGTTCCACTTGAATATCTACAAATTTCATTTAAATCTTTTTTAATATTGCTGCCCAATATTTATCTAGACATCAGTATTAATAATCAAATTATCTTTTTCATCTGATAATCTTAATTTTGGTAAATTTTTGCATTCTTCTTTTAATGATTTAACTATTTATGTATGTTTTTCATTCCATCCTTTAGTATTTATTTTTTTAAGTAAAACTTGAATTTTATGTTTTTTCTTAGAAAGATTTTCAATAAATCTTTCTGCATAATTTAAACATTCTAAAAATTTTTGTATTTATTTTTTGGATTCTAATTTATTTGGAAAACTTTCTATCTTTTTGGATATATGAGTATTTAAT